TTTATTCATGTAATCAATACGAAAATGGATTTAGCGATTGCCTTCATCTAATGGCCTACTTAGCTTCGTATACCGTGTTTCTATCTTCCTGATGAAAAATTGAAAAATGGTGGCAGATCGTAGACACGCCTATCATGGCGAAACGAAGCTCTTCACTCGCTTTGTAAATAGATTATAACAACAGCCATAAGGAAAACGCAATTGTTTTTTTCTTATCATTGAACATTCTCGGTAGATGATTCAATTCCATCGTTTCCTTCTCTTTTCGCTGATGAATTTTAATTTTATTTGATGCGTATATTTCGGTAACGGGCTTCTCTACTTTCTACATATAATTACTTTCTGTCAGCATTTTCAACATAATTTGTAGGCGATCCGCCTGCATCTTGCTGGTTGACTTGTGTCAGGCCATTAGGCAGTTCTTTTTTTCTCGTAGAGGATTGCAGCCATATCACGTTGAAACACTGGTTATGGTACGATCGCCGAAGTTAAGCAATGTCGAGCCTTAAAGGGTGACCGCTTTGGAATATAAGATATTGTAAGGTTCGATATCCGACTGGTGTAATGGATAACGGCATCGAATATAAAATTCCATTTTCAGTCAAGTTCGGTATATTCACTTACGTGCAAATAATCTTGTGAAAGGTACGAATTCATCTCTTCTTCTCCCCAGCTATGGGTTAATTAGTGGAAATTCTAATACAGTAAATCATTATTTATAAAAATCTAAAAATCTAAAAATATTGCTTTAATATGTCTTTAAATAACCTGCAAATTGTTGATACAGGAGGCACGGTGGAGTAATGTATAGCGGCTTGGATTGAGGAATCGGAGAGCCGAGTTCGAATTCCAGTCGAATCCATTACATTCACTTACGTGCTAATACCCTTGGGAAAGGTGTGAATCCTCTTCTTCTTTTTCCAGCTATGGGTAAATAGCAGGACAGACTGGGCTCTATAGCCTTGGATGGCAACTGGTCTAGAAGATGGAAAACTCTGAATTCAAAACCTGTGGAGGGTCGTTTGGGGACCCTGTGGCACGTAGTGAACCAGGTCTCTGTAATCGGCCCTTCAAAAAGTGTGGATGGTCCTGCACGATCCTTCGCCACTATAATCAAAATCTCATTTGCTATACATGCGGGTTGGGAACCGCTTGTGAATTCCAAATTCCCATGAAACTCAAATATTGGAGCCGGCTCAACCCACCCCGGGTGGATGACATTTGGTCATTATCTAGATCGGTGACCACTTAGCAATACCAGGTGTTGTGAGCTTCGATTGGGGATGGTGTAACGGATGAGGACTTCGAATTGGAAAGCCAAGTTCCAATTCCAGTCGGGTTCGTTTTATTGACTTATTCGCAAATAATCTTGGGAAAGGTATGAATCCACCACTTCTTTCCCCAAGCTATGGGTTAATTAGTAGAACGTTTATAAGTACATCAAGTTATGCTTGTCTATCCCTCTCTTTCTTCCACATTTTTCTTCATTTTCCTTCATTTCTCTTTCTTTTTTCTCCCCACCTTTTCATCTTCGTTCTTCTTCTTTACTTAGAGCTGGAATCTCATTTATTTCATTTTTATGCTTGTCTATCCCTCATTTTTTTCCCACATCTTTTTTTATTTTCCTTCATTTCTCCTCTCCTCAACGACGAAGATGCGGGTGGATGTGAATGTGATTATATGTAGAAAGGAGAGAATCCGGATACCACAATATTTTTAGATTGTAATAATCTTTTTTGGAGAAAATAATGATTTAGAGATACTAATTAACCCATAGCCGGGGGATAAGAGGTGGATTCATATATTTCCTAAGCGTTTTTGCGCAAAAGTGAATATAGCGAACACAACTGGAATTGGAACTCGGTACTCCGATTTCAAATTATAATGCCTGCATATCCAAGCTTACAGCATCTGGTATTCTCAAGCCGTCATCCACATAATGAGGAAGGTGGGTGGCTTTAAATAAAAGGGCAAGAGACATAGGAGGAGGCAGCCTGGCTTCTAAATGACGGACCATGTGTGAATAAATGGGAGAACAGGGGCGGGAGCTTCAAGTGATAAGAAGTTTTGGACAGCCATCATCGCCCATGTCCTGAAGGGTCGTGGCGCATAGAAGAACGTTTCGGTTAAGTACGCTTTGGATATTTTCAGTTGGCCATATTTTGTATTAATTTATTATTGTTACTATGAGGTCATTCTATATTCGTTCATATATATAATTGATCCAAGGAATCAATTTACGATCACTGTCTCTCATTATATCCATCCTATCCCCATCCTAAAGAACATCAAGTGAGGTATATCTGGACCTATTATATCCTATATCAGATAATCGAGTTTTGTTATTTTTGCTTCATTTCTGAGATAACAGACAATATTTTTGACATATATGAAACATTTTTGTTGTTACCGATATTATTATTATCATTATTATTATTATTATTATTATTTGTGTATGTTATGGTTACTGATTTGTATCCTGTAGAGCCGAGTCTAAAACTATGGTCCCTAGGGGCTATAGGAGAATTGTCATTCCACTGATAGCACTTTTCGTAGTATATGGGATATTCCTACTAGAGTGATTTTCTGGGCAACTTGTATGTTGATGTTACCTGGGACACTTTTAGTAAAATAGTCCATTCCTATTCTCACGAGGCCCAGTGCTCTGATTACTATTGGTACAATCTAAGTCTTCATTCCCCACATTCTGTTAATCTCGATTCCCATGTCTTTGTATTTGGACAATTTCCTGATAATTCTCAGGGAGATCTTTCTCTCAGATGGTATTATTATTATTATTATTATTATTATTATTATTATTATTATTATTATCCTTTGATCATATTCACCGGTTCATTATTTTGGTTAACTGGGTATGTTACTTTTAGATTATTATTATTATATTCCTGTTTCGTTTATTGTTATCACCTTGAAATCCATGTTATTGAAATCTCGACCACTATCAAGGCTCCGTAACTATCTATCCTTCCTATCCTCATAATCTTCATCTTCTTGTGTCTTCTCTTCGAAACCTCATTCATTATCATTCAACGATTAGAGTCTTTGGTGGAACTTTAGTTCTCTTTTAGTCTACGCTCAAATTATACTGTAAACACTGAAGTTATGTAGCGTCGAGCCCGGTCAGTACCTTGATGGAGGGTCGCTTGGAAACACCTGATACTGTAAGCAACCTCTTACAACCCGAAGCAAAAGTATCAAACTGACTTAAGTAGAAAAGAGGAGGAGAAAGAGGGCTGGTTTTTCTTAGAAGCCAATGAGATGTAGACACTTGTGTTATTAGAAAACATACGTGAAAGGCCCGAGATCATAAGATCACTAAAAATTAGGTTTGCGAAAATTAAAATCGTTGAAATTGAAATGGCGCGGAAAAGAGACAGACAGACATACGTACACACATACATACATACAGATAGATAGATAGATAGATAGATAGATAGATAGATAGATAGATAGATAGATAGATAGATGAAAAGAGAGGAAGAAAGAGAGACAGGGTGATAGTGAAAAAGAGATAGTGGCAGAGACAAAGGCAATCATTTTTGGAAGGAACTGTGCCATGTCGCTTGCCTTTAAGAAAGCTTATAAAATTAGCTTGTCAGGTTGAAAACACGATTGCTCTGTTGACAAGCGAATGGAAACGACTGGACACAATGAAAACTTTTCCGCCATTTTCCTACTCTCATCTTTCCGTTTTACATTTTTCTGTTTCTTTTCAAGTAATTTTTCTTCATTTTTTTATTCTAGTCCGTCAATAACGGTTTATCATTATTCGTTTAGCTATTCGTTTAAATTTTACTTCAGAATTGTACACTTCGTTCAATGCCCAGTTTTCCATTTGTTTTTTTTTATTCAAAGTCGTCTTCCTCCGGTATTTATCTTTGTCTCTCCACTGACTCAGGATGCGACATAAGGTCAGTTTGTTATAACGGGAGGAACTCGAGTGTCTCCACCCGGGCCACTGGTCTTAGCTAGTAATAACTAGTCAAAAAACACACTATGGAAGAGATCGTTTGGGTCGGCACAGAACAGATACTACAATAGCATCTCTTCCGGTCCAGATTTTTTCTCCTTCCGTTCCAAGTCGTCTTTATCTTTTTGCTTCTTCAGCAAGCGTCAGTCTATATACTTTTTTTTCTACTCACTTATTAATATGTTCTATTAATTTGTATTTACTGTTTCACGTTCTCTTTCTTTCCACATATTTTCTCATAGTTTCATTTGCTCCTTTCCTTTATGCAACTATTTCGCTTTTATTTCGTTTTTTGTTCTCTCGAGTTCATTGACATTTTTCCTACGATTAACGCTTCCTCTTTTTGTCTTACAGTTTCTTCGGAATTGATTCGAATTCATTCTCTCTTTTCTATGATTCTCTCTGCCTTTTACTTTTTTCCAGCTCCCCCTTTCACGACTTGATCGTCCATTTTTCTGTCAGTGTCCTTTTCTCTATTTCAATCTCTTCCCCCTCTCCTTTCTATTATTTTCTCTCAGTTTTATCCTTTTCAGTTTTTGTTGATGTCAACGAAAACTCGTTACCACTTTTGTAATGTCAACGAATACTCATTGTCACTTTCATTTGATCGTTGTAGTAGAGACTTTGTGATCGCCGATACAACTATAGTAACGCCGTTGAACAATACTGGTGTCAGACGCCTTCGAATATCACTCGCACTAATAGTACTTGCTCGATAATACTCGCTCGAATAGTAACCACCGAATAGGGATCCAAATAGAGGAATAGAATAGTAAATAGTATAGCGAAGAGTGTAGAAAAGTGATCGGTATAATAGAGGATAGAATAGAAATGGTGATCAATTAGATGCCACGCTAATTCCCATATATACATTTCCTTTACTATCACGTGATCTACTTATTTCAAATGGGATCGCCTGTGTTTGCTCTCTGGCGATCTATGTTCAAACTACAGTGTCGGCAGCTGCACTTTATTCCTATATAAGATCACTCCTTTTTTTTCTCCAGACATGTTTCCTCTCTCTCTCTCTCTCTCTCTCTCTGTCTCTTTCCTTCTTTTTTTCTTTTTCAGACTCTTTTCTAAGATTGTCTCCCCCATTTATTCATCTCAATCCCCTTCTTCTCCCGACATGGTTCATTTTTTTCTTTCAAACTCTCTTTCTCTTTTCATTCTCTCCTCTCGAACTAATTTTCTCCTTTCTATAATCGTCTCTCCTTTTTACTCTTTTTCAACTCCTTCATCTCCTGATAGGGTTCTCCTTTTTTCCTGTGAGGGTCTCTTCCCGTTTCTATCTTTCAGTCTTATTTCCCCGAATTCGTTCTCTCTTTTTACTATGATTGTCTTTCCCTTTCACTCATCTGTAGCCCTTTCTTTTTCCGGCATGTTTTACCCTTTCCTTTCTCTTTTTCCTTCTTTACTCTCGACTTCACTCTTTTTGTTTTATAATTGTCTCCCTTTATAGCAATTTTTCTTTTTCTTCTTCTCGTGCCCTCTTTTTGCATGACTTAATACCTAACTATCTCTTTTTTACTCTCTTCTCCCGAATAGATTCTCATTTCCAGTGATTTGCTCGTCGTCTTTTTCAATTTCTTCTTCATAATGATTATGGGTTCAATCCCTGGTCGGACAGGGTGCAACTTGGACTCAGTAGATGTGGAATAACTACTAAGAAGTACTAAAAACAAGAAGTATACGATATCCCTAAACATAGGCAGTTGAATGAGAAAAGTCTAACCCTGAGATTAGAGTTCAGTTCAGAAATCTCTATAGTTTATACAGATCGATATATACCTGATAACGGTCGGAGGTAACAACAGTTGAAACGACAACAGCAACAAAGATAAAGAAAATATACCCAATATAAATAGTGTAAATACAATTTTCTTTCTGTTTTGTTCATTTTCTTCTCCCGTGACGCACTCATTTTATTATTATTGATACACTCTTTTTGATAGGTCCTGCTTTTTTTTTAAGTTTCTTCTTCCGACATCACTTTCTTTACCTGATTCAGAGAATCTTGATAAAATATAAAGAAGAATCTGCAATGGTCTGGCATCTCACCTTCAATCAGTTTCTTACTGACGTAGTCTAGCTTTCCTGTGCCTTTTTCTATAAATATTTCAAAAGTAATTTTTCTCATGAACTTTCCTCTCTATATGGGAACTAGTTAGAACTTCATAGAGATTCTGAGGTATGATGGTGTCTGTAGTAATAATGATAAGTAAGAAAGTGTTGTTTTGGTGTAAGGAATTCTGTGGTATATTTTGGTCAGTAATTGTGGCTAGCTAAGTTTAATTATAAGCTAGATTGAATACCAGTCCTCACCGATTCCCTCTTTTGGCCTTGTGCGACATTTGTTTAAATAACGAGAATAAATATCACTTTCCTATATGGTACATAGAATTTAAGAATTTATGCGCAGTTCCAGATTGGCTGCAGGGTTTCATTATCTTACAATGGAAATGGATATAACCGTAAGTCATATGTTAACAGTTTCTTCTATCGCACGTGTGGAACTCTCTTCCGGCTTCTTGATTCCCAATCAACTTTGATCTTCGAAAATTCAAATGCAATGTAAATTGTTATCTACTGTTTTCTAAGTTCTTGTTCTTTTAATGATCTCTCTTCTTAAAAGAGAATTTTTCTCCTATTCTCATACTCAATAACCCCCTTGCGTCTTAGTGGATTTATTGCCTTACTTGGAGTGGAATCATAAAAAAAATAAATCTTTTTTTTCCTTTTCAAGACCCTCTTTTTTCTCATTTTTTGATCTTTAACATTCCTTAGTTATTTCTTCTCCCGATCATTTGTACATTATTTATTTTATCTTCATTTTTCTTCTTTTTTATATTCTCTCCGTTAAATTTCCGCTCTATCAATGCTGTAACCTAGAAAAGGAATAACCAAAATGGAGATAGCAAATGAAATGGAAACCTTTATAACATCAACAATATAAAATACTCGACAGCGGCCTGTAGTAGGTAAACCATTGCTAATGGTGGACTCCTTAGCATATTACCCTCACTTATTTACCTATTATTATTTATTATTTTACTGATCAGGTATCGACTCGTGTACCTTCTGTTAGCTGTCATTTTTTTCTATCTTCCCCACCACATACTGTGAATATGGATATTTCATTTCTGATAGTATCCAATATTCAACTTATTAGAATTGACTTTCCTGGTCACTATCTTGAAATCTTCCAGATACAAAATCTTCCAGAAATCCTTACTGTTACAAAGATGAAGCTATGTGAAAATCACCTCTTTTTTAGTATCGAATGATAGCTAAGATTAAAATCATATGAGTTTCATAAGTGTTTTAATCTAAAAAGGGTTACTGAATGAGTAATAACCAAAATGGAGGTTGGAAATGAAATGGTAATCTTTATAGCATCAACAAAATACAATACTCGCCAGCGGCGTGAAGTAGGTAAACCACTGCTAATGGTGGCCTACTTAGACAGCATATTACGATATTTACATGTCTCCCCAAGAGGTAGGGTGCAGCACAAGGCCAAATTTAATGTGGGGAAATCCGAGCCCGTGGGCTCGGGGAAAATTGCCCGTAGAGCCCGCATACACAGTATCGGGTATCAGTCTACCTCCACGGACGAGACTCTGCCATTCGGCATAGCATCGTTCGAGTTCCTCTCTGCCCGAAGTCAGATAATTCGACACGGCAAGAGCTTCCCACGCTGACAGCTCATGCTACCGGCGTAGACAGCATAGTACCCCCACTTACAATAGTGTCCAACGTATTTATGAGGATTGGGACATAGCCATTAATGTTCATAGGTACGGTATTTAACACTCAATCACATGGTTCATCATACTTTACCATTATCAGCTTTTCTTTTTTTCCAACAAATTATTTCCTTTCTCTTCCCAACAATAGCGTTCGTATTCCTCTTCTTCTTCCTCTTCTTGTTCTCCCTCCCCTTCTTTACTTATTACAGCTGGGATCTCATTCATCTCATTTTTATGCCTATCCCTCTCTTTCTTCTACATTATTCTTTATTTCCTTTCATTCTTTCTTCTTTTTTTCCTCCCTTCCTTTTCATCTTCTTTCTCTTCGTTCTTCCTCTTCTTCTTTATTCATTACAGTTGGAATCTCATTCATTTTGTTTTTATGTCTGTCTATCCCTCTCTTTCTCACACATTTTTCTTTATTTTCCTTCGTTTCTCCTTCTTTTCTGCTCCCTTCATTTTAATCTTCTTTCATCTTCTCCTTTTTTCAACATGGTCACAATCCAACTAAATTTAATTCGTACGTGGGGGTTGTATTCGTTAGCAGGGGGTAAAAAAAATAAAATAAATGAAAACTACCATGAACAAATTATAAAGGGTGTATCGAACAAAAGACTGCACGAATGTCATCTCACCCCTATTTGATCGATGGAATTAAAAAAAAATAATTTAGATTGCACAAAACGAAAAAAAAAAAACATGGTTTTATGCTTTCCCAATTTCATCGTGTAATCTTTGCCTTCATCGTGGAACTGTAGCAATTTCAAACATCTTATACTTCTCACGACCATTGCAGAATTGTCCAATTGGTTTCTTTCTTTGGCGAAACATACTTGTCTCCAATTCGACGAGCCAATTTCATCGGATTTGTTTCAGGCGTTATTTCTTAGAATTGTTTTATTTTGCGTCTGGGTGTCTGACTCATTCAATTTGGAATTTCGGAGATTTGATGAGGTTGGCTTTCATTTTATATGCATGCATTCCCCATTTTTTAAATGCTGTACGTAATTTACATGCTCCAATAAACGTTTTACCACCTGCAGCTAAATTGTATATATATATATATATATATATATATATATATATTATATATATATATATATATATATATATATATATATGTATGTGTGTATACACAGACACACATATATATATGTGTGTGTGTGCGTTATATTGCCAAACGCGCGCGCGTGTGTGTGTGTGTGGTTCTGCACAAAGCCTTCACCACTATAATCAAATCGTATGTGCTGGTGTCTGGATGTCCGTTCCTTAACACTCGTGCGTCAAATACGACGGGAGAGTCAACCATGTATATATATATATATATATATATATATATATATATATATATATCCGTCCTCACCACCCCTTTATGTCAACGTATATAAACTTAATACTCCCCGTCAAAATGTAAATTTTAATTTCGTTTCTCATTTCACCCTTTTGAAACTGGGGAAATAAATTATTACAATGAAGCCTTAAAAGTGGTCTGTTTTTCTTTAAATTATATATATATATATATATATATATATATATATATATATATATATATAGGGAGAGAGAGAGAGAGAGACACAGACAGACAGAAAATTTACATTCTACACTAAAGTTGTACGACCTGCAGTTTTAATTATACATATATATATATATATATATATATATATATATATATATATATATACAGGGAGAGAGAGAGAGGTGGGGGAATTAATACAAGTAAAAGGTATGTCACTTAGCTGATTGTTGTTAACCTCAGCATCTCAGTGTGTCGTAGACGGACATGGCCGTCCACTCGTCAGTCGGTATCAGCAATTGACTGCTTATACTTCTTGATTTTTCTTTTTTATATGCACTTTTCATTAGTGCAATTTTTTTTTCATAGTGTATGTGTGCACGTGTGCGTTTGCCCAGATGTACGCATGTGTAGAATATCATTATTATTTGTGCTTTTCATCGCTTTTCCCCTGCCTTTTACACTAACTCCTTAACCTTTTTTTTCTCTCTCTCTTTTTTCTTTCCCCTGTATTGTTCCAGTTGCTGTCAGTAGACTTCCGGCTTTCCTAGAAAGGCTGTCGTTTTTAATTTTTCAGCTTTGTAGTCTTTTCTATTTACTATTTGACTTCCTATATTTTCGTCATATTTTTCTTTTTCGTTTTTCATATCCATGAAGTCAACTCCATTGTAGCTAACAGCTTTTTTTGTCGCACTTTTCGCTTGTGGAAGTCCGTTCCGGCTTCTTGCTTTCTAACCAACTTTGATTTAACTGCGATGTCAATTGTGATCTTTTGTGTTCTTATGCCATGTTCTTTAATTGTTATCTCTCCTAAATAATGTTAAAATGATTAAAAAATTAGTATTTAATTTAAACCGTTAATGTTTTTTGTAAGGCAATAAAAATTAGTATTTCTTAATGACAACTATTAATGTTGTTTACAAGAAAATAAACACTTTTAATGTTATATATATATATATATATATTTTATATATATTATATATATATATATATATATATATATATTTTTTTTTTTTATTTTTTTATTTGTTATCACATTTTATGTTAGTACATTCATTTTATAGATAATATATTTAAGTAAATGCTCTGGTTATAATAAACAGTATGTACCGGACCAATTGTCTGAGGAATTTATTATAGAAAATATACGTCCTCCGACAAGAATCGAACCTGTATCCTATACAGAAACATTATATACCCTGACGTGACTTTAACCGATTGGGCCACAGAAGATCGTTCGACTGACAATTTCGTATTTATTGTCTTTAAACTACAATCTTCCATGATTCTCTCAGGTTCATATTTGCTCATGGCGCATCCAAATGTAAACAAATGACGTCACACATTATGAAATGGACAAATTTCAACTATTATTTTAAGACATTTTTATGTTTATACATTCTTTTCATAGACATAAAAATCTCTTAAGAGTGTCCGAGTCAGTTGGATCTAGCGACACAGGTTCAAATCCTGTCGGAAACCGCATATTTTTCTTTAATAAGAATTCTCGAATATTCACGCTGGGGACGAAAATAAATATACGGTTTAATAATTAAACGGAGCGTCCACTCAGATATGGGCATCCATTAAAAATAGTTTTTAAGTAACAAAATATGTCGCATAATTGAATAAAAATTAATCATATGTTTGTGTTTGTGTATGTGTGTGTGTGTTTATATATATATATATATATATATATATATATATATATTCTATGTTCGCTTTTATATTTACGCACGCTCTATCTATTGATTTTTTTAAAATATATATTTTACTTTATTTCCCATATTTTTGCCATAATCATCAGGCCACCGTCATCAGGCGAAGTTAGAATAACTTTACTCTCACCCATATATATATATATATATATATATAAAGAGAGAGATAGATAGATGTTTTGTTAAAAACGACTGACAAGTTACTATAGTTATTCAATTTTTCTTGTGTTCTAGACAAAAATTTTGTTAAAAAATTCTGCATATCCGATCGATAAATGTGTTCGTTGTTTTGTTAGGTTTTATCTAATGTTATTAAATGTTGGCCTTTCCTTTATTATTATTAGGGTTTACATTATTTTTTTAATCTTTTTCTACATGTGGATGAATCTGTTATACTTGAATCTTCGTCTAGGTTTTTCGTGGGCGTTTTAATACTTAAAAGACCGACACATTCGATAAAAATAAAAATAAAAAATTAAAAATCGTCCTTAATAATGGCTGAAGAATTTGTGTCCAGAAAAACCAAAAAAAAAACACTTGTAGGAACACAAGAAAAATTAAATAAAAAGCATAGCTGCAGTACCTTGTCAGTCGTCTTTAACAAAACATGTATAAAAGAGGATTTCTGCCTATATATATATATATATATATATATATATATATATATATATATATATATATATATATATATGTGTGTGTGTGTGTGTGTGTGTGTGTAAATAAAAAAAGAAAGAACAGCAAGATATATAATCCGGTGTTCTTATAGATATTTTTTTTTTACAATATAGTGCTCAATGTAAATTTACAGAGCATTAATATTATAAATTAATTGATTTAAAATATGTCTTTTCGCTACACAGTTCTAACCATGGAAGCTAAAAGCCCCGAATTTAATTTGGTAATTAAATTAAAGACATTAGTTCCATTTCATTTTCAAGCGAATTTTGGAGTAACTTTTAAAATTACTGGGTTTTAAATACACAGCTAAAACAAAATTCATGTTTCCAAGGTTACAGATAAATCTATTTTTCCTAGACAGGGGTGTCTGGGTGTTCAAATTGTTTAAATTTTAATGTATCAGTTATTGCTACGTTTTGGTAGTGGGTAGGGATGTATTTTTCAATGAAATCAACATCCGTTAAAAGCGTGTCGTCTGGATTTTTTTAAAATTATATTATTAACAGCTAAAATTCTTACGGCATTTTTTTTTTTCCTTCGTATATTGAAAGAATTTTTTGGGGGTGTTTAGGTAAGAATACTTTTTTATTTAACTACGATTTGAAATATTTTTTACTTTTAATTTTAATATACTATATTTCTTTCAAGAACAATTAAATGTAATTAGAATCCCTTACAGTTGTAGAATTATTATCACATCAAGTATATTACGATTTTTAAAAAAAATTTATATTTAAATATTTTTTAATAATTTTTTTTTTTTACGGCAAAAATAGCTAAATCATTTCTCAGATTTAGTAAACTTTATTTATTTATTTATTTACAATTTAAAAAAAAGTTTAGGTTAGAATTTATTTTAATTAACTACAATATTAATTACAACTTTAAAATATTTTCATTATTAGTTTTATAGACTATATTTCATTTAATAGAAGTAAATGTATTAGAATTACTTACAGTAAGTAAAATTATTTTTCTGTATCAAGTATATTAATATTACGATTTTTAAAAATTTTATATTTAAATATTTTTTAAGTAAATTTTTTTTTTCAATAGTACTTTTCACTAGGAAAATGCTTGACTATTAATATTTCATGTTAAATATAAGTAGGAATATTACCTGATCCTATTTTATAAAATTATTTTTATTTTAAATATTATTTAAGGAAAATTTTTGACAATGACGGCATAAAATAGCTATTTCATTTCTCTGATTCAGTAAATTTTTATTTTTTATAAATTTAGCAATATATAGTTTCTCATGTATGCACAAAGGACATGGGTCATTTAAAGCGCCTACATATTCTAGCTTTTCATATTAATTTCATTTTACTGTAGGTGTTTTATTTGATTCTTTTAATGCCAGAAGTATTTCGATAGAGATGTCTGATATATATATATATATATATATATATATATATATATATATATATATATTATTATTCGGACAAATGCCATCATCTTTGTCGACGTTGTACGCTCAGGCCTTCTTCAGGCTTTTGGAATGTCGTAAGATGGAAATTAACAGGAGATAACTGATAACTGACATCTATTA